ACTGACCAACTGGAACAATAAAGTCAGGCTCTCCACCCAGATAAAGCAACATCAGTAGGGTGTTTCTCATGTGAGAAATATGTAACTCCTAAATCCTCCATGTTCTGATGCTGAGCCTCCACTTGCATGGACTTGTCTGAAAGAGGACCCTTAAAGACAAGGCATGTAGAGAGGCTAATGTCCCCCACATACAAAACAGAGATAGTATCATGAAGGACTGTGCTCCTGGAGCTAATGTGGGGAAGGACAGGCATCTTTGAGGTACTCCTGATGTCATATGAGTCCAGTGATGGTGTGTTGTGATGAGAACTGCCATGGAGGTACTCGAAAGTCTGAGATTGTATCACAAAAATGCAACAACAGTGTTTTGGGGTCAGCTGTTATGAATGCCTTGCTGGTATGAACGAGCACTGCTGTTACAATTTTGCTGTCGTCCAAGACTGGCGGACTCTAATCAAAGCAATTGTAGATAAATTGATGTCAGCTGAAAGAATTGGATCGTATGTGCATTTAAGTATTGTTGTGATGTATTTGTGTATTGTTGTGATATAATGTGGGTAAAAGAAACTGGAGTGTGAATTATACATTGACAGTCGGGGCGAAAGGGAACCCAGTACAGTGCAGGCTCATGCTTCAGTGAACTAAAGTGTTACTGTACTCACAGTATCTCGCATGTGTAAATAAAACTGTCAAATAATTGTAGCAGAGTAGAAAGTACAATATTTCCCTGTGAAATGTAGTGGAGTAGAAATATAAAGTAGCATAAAAACTTAAGTACAGTACTTAGAGTAAATGTACTTCATTACTTTCCACTATTGCTAATAGAATTACTTATCCTTCAGCACTGTTCAATTACCCAACAGGTAAAACTCCTGTGCTCCACTGTTAAAAAAGCAATATTAAAAAGGTATAAGACTTATCATAGCCACACAAAAGACTGTTAAAATGAAATAATAAACTCCATATTGATGCCAAAGGTACACAACAACTAATCCTCCGTTGTTTCTCTGCTCATGACTGAGCACCAGTGTTTGCTAAAATGATATCATATATGACATTTTATATTGGTAATGAAATGCTGAACCATGTGTTCATCTGTAGATACTTGACACAGTCTAATGCAGCAACGGTGTCTGTGCAGCACACAGGAGCAGAGACTTCACTACAGGAGCCACTGATGGGAGTGAGGCAGGCAGACGAGACATTTAGAAATGGTGTGGTCCACTTTAGGGGTGTCTGAAATCATATTACAAGATTTGTCCAGGCATGAAAATGAGATATATTGTAATATTTACATTTACAAGTAAGAAGGATATATAAATGTTCCAATCCCCCCCGAACTGTTGTTTTTACCACTTTTGGGGGGCACAGGTCTTAATAAGGGGTCAGACCCCCCATTCCCACCGTAATTTGAACCCTGTTCTGAACTGGTATTTGCTGATTTGCCACTGGAACTTCATGAACACCACACTTTTCCAAATCAGTAGAAGTTTGTCTGCTTAAACAAAGTTGATTATTGGCAAAATGCTCATGAAAACCGTCACCATTGAACTATTACATTTTAGAGTTGCCCTGTGTAGTTTCCTTCTAAACAAAGTTCCATTTATGTTCACTGTTACTAAACAACATGCACTGTATGTATCCTTGAGGCATATTAAACAAGTTGAATACATGTATTCCTCATAAAACATTTGCAAGACTGATATCTGTAGAAAATGTGGAATATGCACTCAATACATCACCTGCATTTTCTTAACTCATTATCACCATCCAAAGATAAGTGGAATAGTGAGAACATTGTTACAAATATGTAACATGTCACCCACATGCGTGTGGGCGGCCATGTACATCCTTGTGTGTGTGTGTGTGTGTGTGTGTGTGTGTGTGTGTGTGTGTGTGTGTGTGTGTGCACGAAATACAAACAAAACAGGGACCCCCTCATCAAAACATTGCTCTACTGCACCTGTTCAGGGCAGCCTACAATTAATGTAAGTCCCAATCGTCTCAAATTACACACCTACATATTTTTCTGCTCAGTGTTTCAGTAACTGGCATTTACAAATAACATTCATCAGATTCTTCATATAAACAGAGTGTGTCAAAAAGTGTTCAGGAATTTAGTTGATACTTTAGTTTCTTTAGATCTTTCCACAGGAAGGCTAATTAGAGGAATTTTCCATTCTTTTTTATTCTTATTAGGACCAGTAATAGTTTATTGGTGTGCATGTAAATATATGAATTCCAAGCAATGCTTAGGACTTACTGGTAATTGTTAGAAGTATATTCACAGTGGCTAAAACTAATGAGCACCACAGCTATTTCCATTTTGTGCCACAAGTTTAAAATCCTCTCTAAGTCCTTTGGGAATTATGGACACTGTCTTTGCTTTTATATTTCACAACTGGACACTTTTATTCATGAATGACAAGAAGTTGGTAACGATGCAGAATGTGGCCCCAGCCCTCAATGAAAAACACATTTCTTCCAGCCTGCGTATATGCAGATAGACAAACACCAAATAAAACCCACAACCAAAGTAAACCGAGTAAGGAGACTATCCTTCGTGGGAACAAGAGAAACCGTGGCCTGTGTGGTCGTAATAACGAAGCAGCCATTTCAACAGCTGCCTTTTCCTGTGGTTCTTTAATAATGTTGCTTTATATATTTTATGAATTTATTTGATTCTGGAGGGAACGGAGCCAAAGGAGACTGTAGAGTTTAATTTGATGTGCTAGACCAAGTTACTGTGTGCATGCATGTATACAGTATGTGTGTAAGTGAGTGCATGTGTATTTCTAGTATGATTCATGTGTGGTGAACAAAACCAGCTGTTTCTATTGAACAGTGGCCAAGAACTCCATGCACCAGGGGGAAATAGACGGTGTAAGAGACCAAGGAGTACAGAGTTACCTAACATCGCCTGACCATCCACCGACCACTGCGCCGTGCTTTCCACTGAGGTGACTCTTGGTCAGATCTGCTCTCACAACAATGGAATAACCCTTTATGACTTCCAGGGAATCATCAGAAACTGCCTACAGAATTAACAAGTAATGCATCTGGCGACCAAGTCACCCTGAATAAAACTGATTAATATCATATTCAAGGATGACAAAATCCCCCTAAGTGTTTTTTTGACATTGTTAGTATACTGTACATTACTTAATACATTTGTGGTTTTGTAGTGATGTATGTGTAATATGAGACTAGAACTTATAACAGGATAACTAAAGTTTGTTTTTTTCTTATTGGGTTCTTCAAGCACAAAACATTGAGCAATATGGTACAATTTGGCTCTGATTTCACTTAATTACTCATCTACAGGAGGTTGTTATTAATACAAATTACGGGTTGTTATTTGTATTAAAGTTATTTTAAATTAATTATATGTCAAGTAGAGGAAAAAAAAAGATACAGCATCTTCTCAGTTTACGTTTTGCTGTAATGTTAAAGAAATGACAGAAATAGTCTCTTCAACACTGATAAAAAAGTTCCTAAATATCCTTGTTTCTGATGATGATGTGGACATGTCAGTTCATCACAATAATGTGAAAATACTATATCTGTACACAGTGTACGGGGCTAATCATGGGCAGTCCAACTCTTAACGCCTATGGCAAACTTACAGCTTGAGCAATCAGGCTGTGATTACAAGTATGATTAAGAAAACACACACTAATAATTAGTGCATAATTATTATTTAGAGTAAATGGATGTCTATGAGGAGGCTGTTTCAGGAATCTTTTTCTTCTCTCTTCTTCTGTTTTTGAGTCCTTCTCCTTCTGCCTTTAGCCAAACCATTTACAATTTACCAATTTTGCAAGAATTTGCATAATGAAACAGGATCCAAACTGGTAAATCAGAAGTTTTGTCTCATCTGATGCAACATATTTGTTGTTGCTACGGCAACAGCCCACTCTTTTTTTAACTTTTGCAAGGATCAGAGATAAATTTCTTCAATCATTCTTGAAATTTGGGACACAGCTAGGACTTAAGAAATATCGTGCATCATGCAGGCTGTTTATAACGTGCCAACTGCTGCTACAACAAAATCCAATCCATTTCCTGTCAAGATTACGCAGATGACACTCATCTTTACATATCTGTATAATATGTGTACATTGCCTGATTAAATGCACTGCCAAATCAAAAGAGGGTGGCCAAAAGGAAAGACTGAAAGTTAGAGCTCGTCTTGACTCTGTCACTGAATCATAATGGATTGAAACAGCTGTCAGAATTCATGAATCGTTAGTCCATGCCTTTATATATAGTATACTTATAATGACCTTTTCGGTCAGACAGCTGCAGCTTAGGCTACTGATCGCTGCTCCAGTCCCAACAAGTGGGCTCCCTTTGGGCCGAAATACATCTTGAATCTTCTGCTCCAGCATCAACACACAGGACCTCACAAGTTGGCATTGGTCTGCGTAATCCAAACTTGGTGAAGCTGCTTTTAGCTGCACATATATGGAACTTGTGGAAGATGATGGGACATACCTCAACTTTTTAAAGCAAAGCCAAAAAAAAAAGCATCTGTTCGCCAGATTGTGCTCTCATTTGTTTAGCCTGTCGTTATATCGTCGAAGTGTTTTACTCTTTCACAGTTACAGTGAAGCACCTTTTGACATTCTGTGCTGTGCTGTTGTGATGTAGTCAGCACATATACACAATTATTTCATTTTTCACATGTCACAGTGTCTCATAGCGCCCCCCAGTGCCGGAATTTCCCTCCAGATCATGCTGAGAAACTTCATTTGGAAATGTGTGTTTTGACTTTCAAAATATCCGCAGCATGAGCTTTGAGGCAATTATGGGATTATTATTATCATTATAATTGTTGTAATTATTATCATTATTATTTTTGTTGTTGTTGTCATTATTATTGTTGTTGTTATTACAAGGGCATAAGTCATCCCCACCGATGGGCAGTGAGGCTGTATACTCAGTGGAAGTATCCTTCTTTAGAGGCAGGAATGTAAATCCAGAGGGATTAGTGAGAACACACGGAGCTGTAAACCCTTCAGTAGCTCTCCAAGGGGTCTCAGCCTCAGTGCGTAAAGTTGGGACGGGGCTCCGGACGCACGGCGCAGCACTCACTATCCCACAGGCTCCATGTGTGTCACCTCTGCGGGATACTTGACAAGGATTTCTGATATTTTGATAGCACTACCCTCGCGGGTCACTGACAGATGAAAACAGTGGCGTTGTGTTGACGTGAAGGCGTTTTTCCTTGAACAAATCGTCTGTCCCGGAGCGCAGAGGGGACATGGGTCAGCTTTATGGTGCGACTCTTTTACCATTTGGCGCTATCTGTGTTGTTTTCCTGTGGGAATCTGCTGCCAGCTCCATCAGGACGACGCTTTCAGTGGACACCTCGAGGTAAGTCTCACGGACCTGATCCTAAAAATATCTTTACCTTTTGTGAACCTCATCCATACGTTTAATTAGGGGTGAGGATTTTAATCATGACGAAAAGTAAACGTTTCAGACACATCATTATTTTTTATGTTTTTTTTTTAACTTGAGCCAAATCTTTTGATTGTAGTTTGTGATCTACAGTGTGAGAGTAAAGCTCTGTAAACTTCATGGAAACATCCACTCCACTCACATTAACATTTCATTTACTCAAAACAAGGACTTCTGTGTCAGATGAGCGCACAGTGCCAGATCTATAATAGAGTTTAGCCTCTGTTTTATTGGTTGCTGCTTTTTTTTTTTTTTTTTCTTTTCGACTTACTGTGAGAGCATTCTGTCAAAGAGCAGACCCTCAGATGAACCGCTGTAGCGCGTCTAATCTAATGTGATTTGCAAGGAAATGCAAAAGGCAACGGGGAACTCCAAATGGTTGGAATCGGTCGCGGTGCAGAGAGCCAAATGTTGCGTGTGCTCAGACAAAACATGACAGATGCTATTAACGTGCCCGGGGAGCCTAGGTCCTGAGGTGAGGAGAGGATGTGGGGAGCACGTGAACCCAGAAGGAAGAGACCACTGAGGAGCAAACTGCTGAGCAGCAGGTTAAACCTCACATAATAAACCAACAGTAGGCTAATGTTTTATTTTACTTTCAGATTTATGTTTTACATGTTCAGTGTAAACCCATTGGTTTCAGTTACAACGGGATGGAAACATCCACATACTGGGATTGATGGCCTCAGTTAAATAAATGCATAGTTAAAACCTTTAAGAGTCTGTACTGTTTGGTGGAAACAGTGTGTATGACTGCACTGTAACACAGTATACACACACATTCATTTATTGCTTCATGATTTGGAGCTAGATCAATAAATCAGCCAGGCCATACATGGCCAGATAACACATTACAGAAATGCCAAATATATGTTTGAGGTCATTCAGTAACCACTGCATAGTTCGTCCATCAGTAAGCACTGGCATGTTTTCAACTGTAACATGTTTATTATCAGTATATCTTGATCACGATTCTTTGATAATCAAACTTTAAAGAATCTTTTCCTTTTCCTTTCTATTTTCCTGAGAATCAATTAATTAATTAATTTTTGTCTCATAAAACGTCAATTATTTTTCACTAATTGATTAATTTATTAATCATTTCAGCTATAATGTGATTATGTAATCATAAATTAGATTTTTTTCATCTCTTGAATAAAAAAATAAAATAAAATAAAATCCCATGTATCAGGCAGGCTCGATGTATAATGTCTTATATGTATAACAATGTGTGAAAATAGGGACATTTTAGGTCAAAGTACTGTTGAGGTTTAACTCACCAGTCTTTAACTAACCAGTCAGCTATGGTGGAACTGGTAGATTAGGGGTTAAGGTGTCGACCATGAAGATCTCCTGTTCATGTCCAGCCCTGGACCTTTGTTGGATGTCATTCCCCGTCTCTCTCTACCTCTCTTTCATGAGCATGTAGCAGTGTATAAAGTTTCCATGTGTCTTTGTTTTCTCAGAGCGGAGTGTCCAGATAGTAAGATCCTGACAGTGGAGTATCCCTGTGTCAGAGCAGGAGGGAAGAACAGCACTTGTTTCAGGTAAGACACCAGGTCTCCTTGGCTCTAATAAGCCTGAGCTACTGAGTGAAAGATCAGCAAGTTACTATACATTATACATTCATATTTTGGTATTGAGCTGACTGTGTTTCCCTGCTGCTTATACTTGTAGGGAGATCTTAACCTGAAACTTTCTGGGGTTATGGAACGGTTTCTGTAACCGCTAAACCACCCTGCCATGTCGTTTCCACAACTCCACGCTGTATATCTCTCTTTTGGAAACTTTATATATCCACTTGAGAGAGAAAAATAATAATTTCCTGAAGACTATCACTCATAGAACGAAGATGCAGTTGGTAAAAGTGTCGTAATTTGTCAACCCGAAGCAGCTACTCTTTTTTTTCTCCTTACCTTGTCTTCCTCACTCTTTTTAATAACCATCATTTATTCTAACCTCATTTTGCAGTTTGTTAGTCACTTTTTCTTTAACAAAGCTGTTATTACTTTTGGTGTGCAGCAGTTTCCATCTGCACTGAGCTGAATTCCACCAGCCTGGCTCTGTGACAGTAAAACAGAACTTGAACTTGAACTTTCTCAGCTTGGGTCCAGAGCTAAAACATTTAGGGAAGGCATCCCCCTCAGGGAGTTAGGCCTGCATTATAACCTAAAAAGTAGAAGTAGTCTGACAGGAGAGGATGTGATTATTTTTATTGCACTGTATCCATTCAGAGGAAGACAGAGAGAACAGACTCCTTATAGTGATTACTAGCGATAAATTTGGTTAAACTATGGACTCATGAATGTTTTTGTAATTTAAATAAAGACAAATACAGACAAGACACACACATGTAAAAAGGTATAGGGGGCAGTGTTTGAAAGGTATGACATATTACTTGAAGAAATTGGCTCCTTTCCTGCTCATCTTTCTCTTATTACATGCCGTCTCGAGGGGTATAATTTATGACACTGTGCATTGATATCATATCGTATGAGCATCCTGAAACATGGGTTAAAGGAAATACATGAATCCAATGCAGACATCACGGCAGGTTGTAAGACTTTCAGCTCGTGATACATCACACACAACAGGAGAGAACCAATGTAAATCGTTCACTTTGACGTTAACATAACTCTCTTCTGCAGCCAAACTTTGGCTTGGATTTGGTTGTTGGCGTAAGAAGATCCTTTAATAAATGAGGCACCAGGTCTGGTGTGAGGCCAGACCATCTGATCTGTTTACTGTCAAGGTTAGACTGTAACAGGCTCTGCGTCTCGTTTAATTTCTGGCTCCGCAAGAGATGTGTGGTGCTGGAGGAGGTGGATTAGACGAGGTTGTATTTTCCTTTCCATGTTTCTCAGGGCGGTTCAGCACAGACCTGGATCAAATAGATTTTCGCAAATAACTTCAGGGGGAACCAGATTGATCCATTGTGTCTGTGCATAGATATTACTTTCATGTTTCAGCGGGAGCAGCATGTGGGTCCACACACTGCTGATGAGGAGGCCATCACGTATTTTCATTTCTTTGGACTGACAGAAAGTTGAAGTTGTAGTTTGTCTAGATGGATGTGTGTGTCTTCATCCACTGCCTGCATTCACAGACAGTGAATATGGTGGTCGTAGTTAATGATGTGGTTCTTGGATTTAGAAATAACATTTAGTTACAAGTAGTAAAGCTAGATGATGTTTGTATTTCTTACACTTTTTATCTATTGATTAATGGTTTTGGAGAGGACATTTGAAAAACCTCCATCCTCCAAACTCCTTAGATACCAAGTTTTGTTTTTACTCCATCCCCACATGCACCGCAATGCATCTGGAGAAATCTAAAGCTTGCAAAGGGCCTTGCGTTGCTAACCTAAAACTGGACAATTAAAATTTTAAACTGTATTTGACCCTCGCCTGGTCAGTCTAACAGTCCAATCTGTACCCGCAACTCTGCCACGTCCAGACAGACTGAACATTTTCCAATAATTTCTGGTTTTCTTCTCTTTATTTCTTCACCTGGCACTACGTTCTCATATTCAAATAATCTGGGAAAAAGTCATATTCCTACAGTTTTGATTGAAGATGACATGTGAACCATTTGGAAAAATTTACACCCTCCCAAAGAAAGTGGACTTAGTTGCTATCAAAACAGTGAAGCAAATTATGGCACTTAGGGTACTTACATTATGTAGCAACTTGAGTGAGATTTTATGAAAGGGATCCTTTGATGCTTAAGACAAGTGTAACAGTCATATTTAAGAAATATTGAGAAATTTCTTAGGATGATGTCCAAATAGAAACTGCCATTATTTAATGAATACAGATTTCGCCAACCTGTTCTCCCCACATTAAGACTCCTAACCCTTTGCACTTCTCTCAGTTGGTTCCTATCACCATCGCCGATCTTCTCGGTCTCCCCGTCGTCTTCTTCTGCTCGGCTCAGGGTGTGTTGCTGTGGATAAGAGTGTTTGCTAAATACATAAAATGTAAATGTAATGTCTCAGAGGGTTTTGTGGTGTCGTGCAGATGTAAACCCTTGCTGATCTCACCATCCAAACAAAGAGTGGACTGGCCGCAGGTCTCCTCCCCCTCCGCTGTGGTTTTCACAGCGATGAGGGTGAATCAGCTCAATTTTTACATTTCTATTGTTCTGCCTATTTCGTGTTCTTATTCTGTCTTCGCTGGAGGTCAGATTTCAGTCAGTGCCAAGCCAAATATACATGGTTTGTACCCAGAGTCTGCCTTGATGTGAGTGTGTGTGAGCTCGCCTTGTTTATGTACGAGTCTGTATGAAGTGTCTCTGTATTGTCTGTGCTGGCAGTGAGAGAGAGAAGTTAATTTTCTGCTCCTTTCTGAACCCTTTCTCTCTAAACACTCTCAGCTGTGGAGTCCAACTGCAACAGGACTGATGGGCTCCACTGAACTATAAACCATCCTTTCACTCGATTGGCATGTTGTTTTCGTTTAAATACCCTGCAAGGCTCGTTACAGCAGTAGATAACACCAATAACATCCTGCTGCAGTGTGTGAGCTCAGGCCCTTGCTTTGATAAAGTGCAGGATGATGATACATGCCATGGAGAAACGGTTGATTTTTGTTCTCACACTTGATGCTTCTTTTGTTGTCACTGTGATCCAACTATCAGTGACATCATTATCATCTTGTTTCCCATCATATCCTAGATGTTAATAAGCAGTGATCATCTTCTCACAGAGGGACAGGGTATCCTGATGATTCTTGCTCGTACAGTGAGGAACTTTATCACTATTTCCAGTTGCGCATTTAAGGTGAGAGAAACTGAAATGAGAAATAGCTTGAGCTGAAAAAGTAGAATTTACACCAGACCGAACGAAACGCCCACCTCACAGTTAAGCATTCAACTGCAGCACCTCCACTTACTCTGCAGGGGAGCCCACTGACGATGCTGGTTTCCTGATGGAGTCACTGAACTGCAGCACTCACTGAGATTAGCAGTGTGTTTGGTGTTCAGTGCCGACATGTTTGAGTTTTTAGTAATTCACACACCTACACTAAACAGATTCTGATCTACAACTATGTTCAACTATGTTTGAGTAGGTGTGGGATGTCCTGAGGGAAAAACACGCATACTCTGTAAGATCACAAGAGTTTGTCATACTGAGCAAACAATAAAAAAAATCCACACTTTAAAAATCCTGGGGAAAAAAAAGATGTATATCTTTTGCTGGAAATCTATATTATGGTCTGTAACATAAATGCCAAAACAATGTTGAACTTTCATAAGAATTTAATGTGAAGCAGCAGCAGCAGCAGCAGTAGGATGTTGAGTTTGCTTTAGCAGTAACTTAATACAACTCTGACACAATGTGACGAGAGTTAACACTGAGCAGTGAGGTGGTTATCTGTAAGATAAAACTGCACTGGATTACAGACTCAATCCCTCATTCTTAGGGAGGCAAACTGAATCCAGTGCCATGACGGTGGGGTCCGCCTCAACCAATAAAAACTACCATGTAGGTTATTGATTAATGTAAATACATAGAACTGGAAATATATAATCAAAAACGGGGTTTGCCTTCATTAAAATGATTAAAGGATTATGACTATAAGTGGGAGGACTAAGTGAGGAAAAGAGAGCAATTGGGATCATGTGTCCGGCTTCTTCCCATCATCCTCCCGTTTCATTTCTCGACCTCACTCTCTTCCACAAACACAAGTGCGGAGCATGGCGTTGGATGAAAACAGTGAAACTCTGGCTGAGAGAGAAAGGGGAATGCTTACAATCAGTGTTTCTTGACTTTGCCTGCAGGAATATCTCAGTGCTGAGTCACACACACTTTGGTCATTTTGGCTGAATTTTTGCCTCAGAAGCATCTTAGTGGGGGTCTCTGATATCATTACACTGTTGGCTCCTTCCATGCATTTTTGCTGTTTAATTTGTCTGAAAAACGTCCACAGAGATATTCGTTCACTGGCTGTCCTCACAGACTGCACACAAATACAGACCGACTGCATCATTACCATTTGCCATCAGTAGACATGGAAACTTCATTGATGGAAGATTTGAAATTCACTAACTCTTTCCAGTACATTCTGCATCCTGATGCTAACAACTGTTACTAAGACATACTGCAAGCTTTAGTAATGTGAGGTTTAGTGTAAGTCAGCCTTTGATTTTAACCTCAACCGCTTACAATCCTGACTCATGCTACCTGGGCAGGGTTTGCCTCTGTGGACGTGGGAATGTTTGCTGACTTCTGATCAGAAGGCAGGAAGCTTCTCTACACCTGGCATTCACATGCGTCTCACATGTGGATTGTGTTCATAACAGATATATTGTAGCAGCATCAGTTTCCCCTTTGCTTTGCCAAAGTGCAGTTTGGATGAGGGTTCTCTTGTGATTTTCATCCATTAAATCAATACACATGTATCTGGAAATATATTTTAGTAAAGTAAACATCCATCCAAGCTGCTTTTATCCACAATAGCAGTATGTTTCCAGAGATGACAGTGCCGGTCTGTCGATTGGCAACGGTTCAGACTGAAATATCTCAACACATATTTGATTGATCAAC